ACTCTAAAATTAATAAAGAAAACCTCAACTAAAATAGAAATCCGGGAAGCCTATAGAACAGTGGTTCTCAACCTGTGGGTCGTGACCCCTTTGGGGGTCGAATGACCCTTTCACAGGGGTCGCCTAAGACCATTGGAAAACAAAAAGATATTTACATTACGATTCATAACAGTAGCAAAATTACAGTTATAGAGTAGCAACAAAAATAATTTTATGGTTGGGGGTCACCACATGAGGAACTGTATTAAGGGGTCACGGCATTAGGAAGGTTGAGAACCGCTGCTATAGAAGGAACTCTATACTGTCACCATGGCGTAAGGAAGGATGGTTTTCCTTTTGCCCAGCAACAAGCCCAGCCAATGGACCACAGCTCACCCAGTGAGAAGTCGTTGTCACCCTGAATTCTCCAGTGAACTTCGTTTTGCTTTTGCTAATGATTTCCCCATCCTCCTTTCTATAAAAGCCTTCCATTTTGTTTAACTCTTCAGAGTATCTCTCTGCTTGCTGGATGAGATGCTGCCCAATTCATGAATTGTTTAATAAAGCCAGTTAGATCTTCAAATTTACTCCATGAATTTAACATATTATTCCTCTTTGCCATCAACTTGTGACAGTATCACTTACACTTTTACATTTCCAACCACAACCAAATATACCATGCTTTTTATATGGACAGATTCGAACACTTGGAAATCAATAAATATCTAGATTGTTATATTAAACACAAAGGCATAGAAGCAAGGTTGCCTGGGAGCAAAAACTGACTTGACCACTTACTGGCTTTGTAGATTTTGCCAACTTGGGTTGTTTTGTTTTGGTTTGGTTTGGTTTTTTCCTATTGCTTTTTCTTAATTTTAGAGAGGATTTTGAATCTGAAATACTTTTTCATTCTCTAATTTTTGTTCTCTGATTACTCTTCAGAGAATCCTGGTCTTGCCTCATTTAATCTCTTAAGAGTTTCTAACGTCTCTTCTCCTTCCTGAATTATATCTATTTCCTCTGGGGTCAGTTTGTCTATTTATCTTATTCTTTCTCTTTCATGCTGCTGATTTATTCATATGCCTAAATATTCTTAGTCACCTCTTTATAGCAATAAAAAGATCTGAGTTTCTTCTGATTTGCATAAATATGTCTGCTTTTACACCAACCCTCTTCCCTGAATGGGAACTTGTGGCAGGATGGAGAAGCCTGTCAATCTGCAAGAAAATGGCTGTCAGCCTGCAGATCTACCCTCCACTCCACCCACCCCCCAATTCCATATGGAGAGGGTTTTCCTGGAGCATTAATTTCTATACTAGATGCCTTATTTGTCAAAGAATACTGACAGAGCACCTGCTATAGTCCAGATGTTCTTACAGCTTCTGAGGATAAAGTGGAAATAAGATAGAGTCCTGCCCTCAATGACTTTACATTTAGCATTTCTAGGAAACTTGTTCAATTTCTGTAGGGAAGAGCCATTGGGGTTTTAGCTAAGAAGATTAGGGCAATACATGCCCATATATCTGTGCTCTGTGCTGTAAGGCAGAAGAGGGAGTGACCACTGAGACAGAAGTTCCTTACACAAACTTTTAATTGGCTTCCCTGGCTGAAACCCACTTCTCACTTGCACCTCCATTATACCTGCTAATTCCGAGTCCAGAGCTTCTACAGGTTCTGATGGCCAGGTTTGCCTTCACCTCCACCCTCCTTCATAGCACATCCTGGCCTGTGTCTTTCTCCACTTGTTTCTATCATAAACATTCTACCACCCCCTTTTCACCTGCCATAAATTTATTAGAACTCAGTTGTGATGCGCCTCCATTTCTGTTCATAATTCTAGTTTATTTTTTTCTTTTTGTATATTCTTATTCTAGAGGATTCCAGGAGGGACATTAAGAATATACATTTGCGGGCTGGCCGAGTGGCGCGATGGTTAAGAACTGGCTTGGGACACCAGAGGGCCCCGGTTTGGATCCCACGTATGAGGGCCAGTGACACTGCCCTCCACAGCTAAGATGCTGAACAACAGCTCAACCTGGAGCTGG